CCACGCGAGTTCACTTTTGTCCCGCTATTTTCCCTCTTGATTTCCGGTTGCGCGTTCGCGAATTAGTGTTATTCGCGGGCGGAAATTTTAAAAGCGCGTCGCCGGTCACGCTTTCCATGCCATCGCTCTGATTGTGGATCCCCGAGTGAGGACCCCTTGCCCGCGTTCTTCGCTACGGCCTCTTCCGCGAGGCAAGCTGTGTTTAGCCACGCTTCGCGGAGCTAGACGTAATTTTGTCGTCTCGTCGTAAAGCGGGAGCTTCGGCGGCGGCTGTCATTACCGTGCGCCGCCGTGGAGAACGAGATTTCTGTTTTCGCACGACGAGTGCTCGCCGTGCTTGAGATTACGACGATGGTTCTGAAAGCGGTATCTCGTGTTACACTTCGCGCAAAGTAACGCGTAAGTGCTTGTTCGAAAGATATGACCGCATAATTCACATCTGAAAACGCCAAACGGCAGAGCATTGATAAAGAAGCTATAGTTCAAATTAATAAAACTATAGTTCATCTAGCATCACACACAAAGAGAATTTTCTTTTAAAATTTATTCGGAAAATCATGTAATCGTGGAATAACATGAAATTTCAAAGACTTTGATAAGAGTTTTTACAGAACAAATTGTAAGATAAAATTCTCTCTGTGTATACATCAGAAGATTATTTTGGATCATCTACGCCTCCGAACACTCAAGTGAGGATGTCGCGTTCATTGTCGCTGTGAAACTTGTGGAAAAGAGATCAGTCCCGCGAGGACCGTACAAAGGATGTATCCAACCGCTGCCAGAAAGAAGACGGGAGACGAGAGAATCCGCCCTTGATAGAATAGCCCAAGGCCTTTTGACGTACGCGATGAGATGCCTACGGCGTATACACGTAGCGCGATGGCTCCGGATGTAGCGAGAATGCGGGACGCGTGAAAAGGAACGCGATTGAATCGACGAGCGCACCAAAGAGGGAGAAAAAGAGTAGTGGTTCGCTCGGGCTGAAATTAAATGGACGCAACGCGTCGCACCGCGCGATCCTGGATGCAAAACGCTCCTTTTCCCAGAGGAACTCGTGCGCGCGCGAAAAACGCTCGAGACGACCGACCCCTCGGCAGCGCGAAATCAATCTTTCTTTAAACTTTCCCTCGTAGATACGCGCGACGCTGTTACCGCTGGAGTTCTCCTCCGAATGCATTTTCACTCGTGTGATTATCTCTTTCGCGTAACTAAGCAATTACGCGCGCGTGCAGATTAAAAAAGGAGAGAAATGAAATATTAAAGAGGGAGAAGATTCGGGGAGAGCTCTTCGTGGAAAGTTTCGAATTTCCAAAGAGCGAAGTCAAGTAATGTCAAGAGTCAAGTGATCGGCAGAATCTCTCGGAAAGCAGGAAAATAAATAAAATCTCACGATAAAAAGCTCAGAGACGGACGACATCTTTTTTACAATATAATTTTTAACTAATATATGTAAGTGTAGAGTTGTGAATCTCATTTCGTCTCGGTGACTGTACTGCCAATTGTTATACGAACGGCTTATAAATAATAAGTTTTTCCAAATTGTAGATATTTCCTTGAAAAGGACCACAATCCAGATGGTCGACACGTTAGAATAAATCGTTAAATTAAACCACCCAGCCAGTGTAAGTAAAGTCGTTAAATAATTTTTCTTCCTGTGTGTTTGATTAATTACTGGCGACAATAATATTCTTCTGGTTATAATGAAACGCGTTACACGACCGCAAACTGCGTAAAACGCGCGAGGGTCGATGCCTGTAATCTCATCAATGACAACTTTATTTCCTCGACGTGATGAGCCTCCTCGTCCGCGAACGCCGACGCAACTTCGCGAAATCTGGGATATCATCAGCAGTAGACACCGCGTTTTCCGCTGCACTCGAGTGTGCGCATATTCGATTAGCAGACTTCCAGCGCTTCGCTTTACATCGATGATATCTCATCGACCTACGACTCGCGATACTTGCTTCACTTAGCGAGCTGCGTGTAAAAAGGAGACGATCAAGTTCAAAATAATCGTCACGCTTGCTTCGTTTCGCCTATTTTCGGGCGGCACGTCGCGGAATAAAGAATTCTCGCGAAACGGGCTGTCGGCTTGCTTTGTGGAACAATGCTTTCCAGGTTTCGCGCACTGGCGAGGCTGAAAATTGTGGCGAACCGCACAGTATGAATCACGGTTACGTTCCGCGCAAGGGGGTACGCAGAAGCGACCTTCGACTCTAATAAGATTTTATTGCGTGCTACGCCGCGAAAGAAATTGCGAGCGGGCAATCGAGTTCCGAGCTTTGCGACCCGAATAAATCATTGTGTAGAAGCGAACGGGAAAACCACCTTGAAGCTAAAGTAAGAACGTATGTACGCGCGGTAAAGAGATTCAGGCCTGCAACAAAGTGTAAATGCTAGAAGTGAGTGGCTGTGTCTCTTTCTACGGGGACAGTTAAAAAGAGACAGAGCTACTCACTTCTAGCATTTTCACTACAGCGTAAGATACAGAATTGACCCACTGGTTTCAACCAACGTCGCTTAACTTTAAGCTTAGCTTAATTCAATCTTTTTCTCTTTTCAACCGTTACTTTAGAAAAAGACAAACGAATGAATCAAACTACGATTAAAGTTAAACGACGTTTGGTGAAACCGATCAGGGAAGTGAGAGCTAACCAAACCGGGCGCACGTTTCCTCGCGTCGTTAACAGATGTCCACGCGTAGCCGAGATACTTGATATTACCTTTATTTCCTAAAAATAAAATCCTACGTCGTGTAAACTTATATCACTGCTGCCCCTGGTGTCGAAAAATTAGAAAGTTACACCGCCATTTTGTCCGACGGCGACGTTTCTTAAATGAAAAATCGGAAATCCTGTGTTTTGCGTCGCAATACCTCCACTCATGGGGCACGTAGGAGAAAAATAACAACACTTTTATTATGCAAATCAAACCCAAGCTATAGTCCACTTAGAATTGAGTCCACTTAGAAGTCCATCGGATCAGCCGTTGTTGAGACCCGAAAATCTGAGGGCCCGTCAACTCGCGTAAACTACACGGTCGGTCTCGCGCGCACAGTTTTAGCTACGCTTATACATTACCATGTCTCGTGATATAATATATTGCAATACTTTTAGTAATTTGAATAAATTCACGTAGCTCACGCATCACCTTTCCACTGCACGGCAAAATACGATTTTAAGCGGAAACACATAACAATTCTGCTTTCAGGTTTATTGCGAGACGTGAAGGTTGCTCCGTGTCTGGCCGAAGATACGTGCGCGAAGAGACCGCCCTGCAATTTTTATTACCGTTGCACCGCCGCGAGTTGCTGCCTGCAGCAGCAGAAACCGTCACATGCGGGCGTTGCGGCAACAATTCTCTCAGAAGTTCGCGCTCCCCGTCAAGATGCGACCGGGCGCGAGCTCTAAACTTCCCAAAGCCTCCTGAATTTTTGACGCCCCGCTGCCGCCGGGACTTGAAAAATGCAGACCCTCGAGTCCGCAATGTCCATCGATCTCGGAGTAGCCGTATGCATGGAGCGACGCTCTCAATGCACGACGTAAAACTGATAAAACTCGCCCGACGGTGATCTGAACGTCCCGCGCCAGATTTCACCCGCCCATCTCTCGGAGTCGAGCGAATCGATAACTCTCGTTACGTTTTGACATAGTTTCCCTGTACAGCGAGTCTACCGAGCCTACGGCCTGAAGATAAAAAGACTTATCCCCCTTGCCGAAGATCGGCCGATCGCGCGACTCCAAGTGGCCTCTCGATCTCACGGCGATCGAACGCGGAAACTTGCAGCAATCCGCGACGCGCGCGATCGACCCACGCAATAATCTGATAGAGTCGTATTAGCCTGAATTCCGACAATCCAGTTAGCTACCCTACTCCTCGCCCTGCCTGATCCAGCCTCGTCCTGAATTCGAAGCAATTGGCACGAACTGGCACGTTCGCGACGCTAAAATAACATAGGCCGATAGGTTTCCCAAGACGGTGCTGCACAACCAACCCGCGAAATAGCGCGGTGTCCCATAAATTCGTTATTACGAACAGCTAAATCAATTATCGACGTGTCAAGCGGTTAATACGATCAACGATACCGCCCGTGTGATGGAAGATTCACGGAGACTTAAGTAAATGATAAGATAAAGTCAGAATATCGGCGAAAATAGCGAAAACGAAAATCGAATGAAGCGAACGGAAGTCAATTATTCCAGCCAACGTCACGCGTTGAGTCTCTAACGTTGATTATCAGAGACGTAATGGCGACGCGTATTTCTCGCAAAAAAAAAAAGTGGATCGCACCACTTAGCTGCAATTTTGACAGAACATCTGTAAAAGGTGTAATGGCATCGCGTGACACGACAATAATAACCGGCCATGTTGGAAAGCATAGAGATCTTTTCTCTCGGGGAGCGTTTTAGCGCTCTTCGAGGTATCGAAATTGCCGGTGCATTTATCGTCGTGCGGACGAAGGGATAAGTGCACGCAACAAACGATCTCGAGACATCGCAGGGACTCCGGCGAAACGAGTTTCGGCGATCACGCGACAATATTTACGCGGAATAGCTTACTTCGTCTGGAGAACTGTGTCGATGCGTTTGCGATAATGACGAAGTAAAACAGCGGAGAGTAAACAACGAAGAAGCTTCCTGTTGCCGTAAAATTCTTCAAATTCTCGAGTAAATTCTGGTATAAAGACTATTACCAGAATTACGTTGAAAGGAACAATAAGCATTTTAATAGACGCAGGTAAATTAAAAATTAAATTGAATGTGATTTTAAATTGAAGATGATTGAAAAATAAATTTCAAATAAAAAATAATTCAAGGCGATTAAAATTAAAAAATACAACAACTTAAATCAATTTGGAGTCGAGTTTTTAAAAATTAGTCCCGATTGATCGACCAATGACAGACTATAGCATCGCTAAATAATCGCAGATTTTTTTTTTATCAGCTGAGAAACACTTATCTACAGAAAATTTCCCGTAACGGGCGTTTAAAGCGACTCACCGAGCATCTTGATACCTTGGACCGGACTCAGAGGGTAGAAATCCCCGTGAAGTGGGCAGTGGAAGCCCACCCTGCGCTCCCTCCGCCTCGCCCGTCTCGTGAGCATGCAGAGTAGTACGCCGAGCGCGAGCATAAGGGCGCCCACAACTATGCAGATCGGCCCCAAGATACGGGAATTGCCGGTAAAGGCGATTCGTGCGGCGTACGAGTTCTTGTCCTCGTCCTCGCCGGGGCCGCGATAAGAAGCAGCTGTAACAGAGAAACGGGCGAATGGAAAATTAATCGTGAAAGTTACTTAAAACAACGACCGTCAAGTTGGTGAAATTACATTCCCGTTAATATTTTCTCACACGTTTTTCACCGTTTCTTGTTCATTGTCTTTCATTATTTTCATTAATTTTTCATTCCACCAGACGAGAATCATATTTTATAAAAGGATAAAATAAATTCTCACATATATATTAATTCTGTAAACTGTACAGTCTATCTTCACTCCTCTAATGTCGAACAAACCGTTAAAAGACGATAACTCCTAACTGCGGGAGGGATCAAACGATTTAAGCAATTCAGATGCGATCTCGTTGCGCTCGACTTTCGCGGAAGCGCTGAATTCGGATGAATTTCGCCGAATCAAGACTTTATGTTCTCCTCGCGTGTTTCTTGTACAATACCGCAAAGCCGCTTCGCACTTGGAATCGCGTTGGCTCGAGAAGACGCGAACTGGTCCGAATTATTGGCATTGTGACTACTCGACGCGAATGAGAAAACTTTTCCAGCGGCAAGTTTTACGTACTTGGAGGAGGAGCTCTGTGCGCGCGTTATAACGTCTTATCCTCGTCAATTGCAAAGCGGGAATGTCGCGGCATATTTGGAGAGAAAATGTGCGTTCTGCAAAGTAGCGGAAATCATGAACATAAATACGCTCGCCGCGGAGAGCTCGCCTTCGAGCATATTTTAATCGATAACGCCGGTGAAACGCTTCATAGGCGGTCAGCATGCGCAGATCCGACGAACTTCTCCTCGCACTTGTGTCTGTCTTTCGTAAATATAAGATAAGCGAACTACTAAAATGCAGTAACGTGACTAAAATGTACGAACAAATAAATTAACGCAGATACGTGCTTATCTATAACTTTGTTATGCCTGCATTTAGAATGGAATGGCTTAAGTCATTCCGGCTCTAATTTAATTTTCAGTATCAAAAAATACGATATCTAATTTTAATTTTTTATAATAAAAATATTTTAAATTTTAAGTGTTTTAAATATCATAGCAACATTAAGAAATTCCAAATAATATATATTTAAATAAATATTTAATAAATACGCTATGAGTATCACGTCCCCCTGATATATTATATAAAATTAATATTTTCCCTTTCTTCAGTGGTTAGTACATTTTATCGTTGTAAAAATACATTTTTATTCTGAAACGAAGCTTGTGGTAATACGAGGCCGTAAAACGCAATTCCAAATGTATAATTAAAAATGAAAGTACCTGTAAAATTGTATTTAAAAATATAAAAACTTATAAATCTAAAAGAAATTGTAAATAATAAAGATTTTTAAGAAAATGCGAGTAGCAAGTAAAGTAATAATAACGTTTACAAAGTGCTTTATGTTCAAAATAATGTATCTATTAATCCCGCTTATGCCCATCTCCACCAATGCGGGCTAATAATTATTTTTCGTTCTTTTCTAGTTCCTTTTGAAAAAGATTAAAGTAAACCGAGATTGAAGTAAATCTACACTGGTGGAAACACGGACATTAGTCCGTACAAAAACTAAATTCTCGTTCCACTTGACTCTATCAAAGGGGACTTGACTCGGCGCGATAAACGTAACAAAGACATTAACACGACGCGAGTAACCGGTAAAGATAGAACGATATCTGGGGTGTTGAAGAGGAAGCGAGAAATGTAGAGACAACGAAAGGGAAATGTGCTATTGGACCGGTCTTGGCGCGGCGAGAAAAAAGGAAGACGCGGAGGACAGACCGGTTCTGATAAATCGGTTGGTAACAACTCGCGGCACCTCGTATGTGAAGAAACGTGGCCGAGAGATGTGACGGGCCAGCTGTTGCTTGGCGAACAGTCCGGGCCCTCTTCCACTTGTCTTTTTCTGTTTCTTCCTCTTCTTCCCCGCGATACGAAAGCCGTATCTATCTCCGGGGTCAGCGTCCCCCGACGAGCGAACTGTAGCGCCTCTCAAATTAATTCAACGAGAAAGACGGGAAATTAGTCTCTCACCTTTTGAGACGCCTCGAAAGTCTTCCGCGTATTAATACATTAACGTTGATTAACATTAAAACTCGCTTTTTAAATTCCGCTGTCTTGTACGATCGATCTTACGAGCATTTCTAAATCATATCATCGGATGTTTTTATTTACGACAACAATATAATAATGTAATATTGCTGTTAAAGCAATTAGAGAGACTTCTTCCGAGATTTCTTCACTATGGAAAGGAATCTGCTTTATTAATATTCACAGCATAATAAAATCAGAGCGAACTCAGGTAACGTGATTTATTAGAGACTTGCAACTTAAATGCATTGCATATGCTCGCCTAATTTCCAATATTTGCGCATTGCTTGCACGACTCTACTACTGCTTCAGCTTACTGAGTGCGGCTTCCTTCTCTATGTAATTAATCCGCTTATAGAATGTCAGTAGAGGCTTCAGTCCGATTAGTATGTAACGACGAATACCGACTTGAGAATATCTCACTCCGTACGCATCCACTGTCGACAACGTGTTGACAGTCGCGCACATCGTTATTCAAAGTATATATCACAGTATATTCCATATAAGTCCCAGTTTTATATTATTCGATTGTTATCACAAACGAATGAGAGCTCCTCAAAGTTCTGAACGGAAAGATCTTACTTTCAATTGGAAAATTTAATATTCGACGACCGAAATTAAATTAGCGCGAAAAAGTTTCGTCTCATCGTGTAATTACAGATATAATTTATTCTAGTAAGAAGATAAAGGCAGAATTTTTGTATACAAGTAATATTGAAGAACAAATAACAGCTTCTGCTCGACTCTTTGTTTAATATTAATAGTAACATTCTCCCTACATGAATATCATAAAACGAATAAGTCGTTAACGCTCTAAAAAAATAAAATTTAGAAGACACACTTTCTCGTTAAGCGATAATGAATGATATCTCATAACGAAATAAACATTGATTCTCCTTTCTAAGCGACCTACATGCGATTACGGAGTCTATGCTTTCTCCGAAATGGAAAGCTTGAGATTATTCTCATCCGCTAAATCACGGCGTGACGCGTGCTCCATATCTCTATAGAATACAAACGCGCGGACGAATACGAGATAAACTAGAAGTAAAAGTCTGAAAATGATAGACCGCCCCGCGTGCGCAGCGCCGGCTGGCATTGCGAAAAATTGCGTATTATCGAAATCATTAAAATCGAAACGAGATATTCCGTTGCGGCCGAAGTGACACCAATTCTCAGCCGGATCGTCGGAATTGCGCCGCGAATTTTGCCGGTCGATCATGAGATGCAAATGAGAATGCAAACGACGCGTTACGAGATAACGGGGGAAAAAAAGCAAAATTAAGAGATCGGTGAATATTCAAGAGTTCCGCCCGGTGTAACTATTGTCCGGCGCACTGTGTGCTTTCGCAATATCGCAATTTATACAAGCGAACCTCTAATTACAACCGCGAAAATTATGCGACGCGGTTAAAACGGGATAGCCCCGCGGCGGAGAATCTTGCAAAAATATTCCGGAGGGAAATAAATCGCATTTATCATTTGTTTGTCGCTCGTAACGTTTCCTGACGAATTTGTGACATTCACGCCGCACTTTTAATCGCCCATATTGCACGTTCGTTTGATATCGTATTCTATTTATCCAGTAAAACACAAGTGTACCCGAGCGTGAGAATGAAAGTACATTTTTCGCGATGAACGTGGAATCGGGAGTGCAGTCTGCGATTTTAGAAAAAAACCGTGTAACAGGATCGACAAAGAGTACAAAAGCGCGCGATGTGTTTTGTAAAGAAACGTAACGAGATACGAGAGGCGTCGCTTTGACACAGGATACATCTTTAAAAAAGAAAAACAATGTTCGTGACGAATCTAAAGATACTCTTTGTAACGTCGCGGATATTAGATATTGCGCGACAAATCCAGCGCTTTTTAGGCTTGAATAGTTATGACGTACACGACCAGAAATTTTAGTAGGGTCCTAGGAAGGGCCTAAATAAGGATGCCTTAATGCATGATCAGGCACTCATCAGTCAGCCCTGATAGAACCCTGACCGTAAATGTAACGTCGAGAATTAAAATTGCCTGATCAGGTTTTTCTTATCAAGACCTCATGACTTGAAGTTTATCCATGATCCATACAACTCGCTGTCGGATCATATCGACTCGCCTCTTACACTAGTACGGGATGATTTTTACTTACGAGAAAGCTAACGCGCGGTCGCCATGTCGCGGCAGTGAGTGGTACTAGTACTATATATTCAGGTTAACGTTTATCAAATCTAAGAAGACTAGAGACCAGGAGAGTCATAGACATAGTAAATATAGACCGAGCGTTCCATTGAATAAGCTGAAGCTTGTGAAGAGAGAGACAGAGAAGATTTAAGAAAACATTCTTTCTCTGTCTCACCATCGTGACAAGAGAGAATCACGCCTGTGTAGTACTGCGCAGGCACGATTCTTTTCTGTTACGATAGTGTAAGACAGAGAAAGAAAGTCTTCTTAAATCTTCTCTCTCTCTTTTCACAAGCTTCAGCTTATTTAATGGGATGCTCAGTCTATATCTACTACGTCTATGAGGAGAGTAAACTCTTGCCTAAATCAGGTGGGAGTAGGCCCAAATGTGGTCGCATTTCGCGACATGGTCGCCGGCCAATTCATGAACTACGCGTGCTGAACTTCGGAGAGTCGTGCAACATAACTAAGGAAACTGGAAGTTCATGAATTGGCCGGCGACCATATCGCGAACAGCGCCCACCACTGGAGTTTACTCTCCTGGTCTTCTTGATCAAATCCTATGAGGGAATCAGGCGCACCGGATCAGGCACATGTCAGGAATTTCTTATTAGGGCATGCCTCACTTCCTCCCTATCAGACCCTAACCATACATGAGGCATGCCTGATTTCATTTCTACTCGGGATAACGCATATCACTCCGACTGAAGTAATTTTAAATAAACAAAACGGGCGGACGTAAATGTGTATACGAACCAGTGAGTACGGCGCCGACGAGCATGAAGAGGGTGCCAAACGCCGGTAGGGCGATCTGGCAGTTCGCCGCTATCACCACACCAGCCACCATCAGGCCGCCCTCGATCTTCTCCACCCTCAACCGCGATATGGGGGTCGGGCATTTCAATTTCGCGCCCAAGCCGCTACCCAGCATTCCCTCCTCGGCTGCCATGCTGCCGGTCCTGTAACAACGAGCGAGGCTAATGACGACAACTGTAATAAAGGTTCGCCGACGAAAATTGCGCGGATGAGTGATCGCCCACTGAACGGGATGGGGGCACTCCCTTTGTGAAATTTTAAGTGGGATCGTATTCGTGTAATTATATAATTAGAGAGCTAATGATAATGGCACGCGTTAGAAATGTCATTTTATGACGAATAACGATTTGTAATTGTGGGTGGGTCATCAAATTTCGACGATGCCTTGCACATCGAGGAAAGGAAGCTGCGATAAAAGATAAAAAGTTAATTACAGTCAAGAGATAAAGCACCTATCGCATTTGAAGCAACAGTGTCTCTTAAATCGCCGAGCCTCTCTCAAATGTTAATCATTGTATGATTATGCTGAAATCTTAACAACTTTTTCTCCAAAAATTCACTTATTTTTAGGATTATACCTTCAAGTCAAAACTATTCAGTTTGTAAAGATTCAAAGAATAAAAAAAATTGGGCTCAGCCGGGATTTGAACCCGGGACCTCTCGCACCCAAAGCGAGAATCATACCCCTAGACCACTGAGCCGCTTGAAACGATACTTCGTACTGAACTCTTAAGTATATACGCAATTGTTAACTTTCATTGATGCAACAATTAAAGTATATCTGTAATAAATACAAATATATCTATTAAAATCTAGACAAGAGCGTTATTGCAATTAAAAGATACAATTTCTCATTCAAGTCAGTACACGCAGAGAATTTTCTTTTAAAATTTATCCTGAAAATCGTGTGATCATGGAACAATGTAGCATTTTGAAGAACTTTATAAGAGTTTTTCGAAATTTTACCATACCATTTTACTAGTAAAATGCGGACTAAGTATATTTACTAGTAAAAAGTATAGTAAATTTTCAAAAATTGATTACATGATTTGCAGGATAAATTTTAAGAGAAAAATCTCTCCGTATAGTTTTACCATCCAATAAAGAATTGTATAATTTAATTATTTGGATATATTTTGTTAGAAAGAAATACATTTTTATTGTCTCTACAAAAGTAATGATATCATCAAATTGCGCCAAATAAAATTTATACAAACTAGATACTTTATTATTTTTGATATTTCTCTCCGTGTAGTTTCATAATATTTCTATACACTGTAAATCTTTATACGCAAGAGATTACCGTGTAAAATTTGTAAACATTAAACAACACAAGCCCGCGATTCGCGCGCGCCATTTGATCTGTCTAAAAATTCGCATGGTTTGACAGCTGCAAATAACACGATATAACTGACTGTGCGATATGACTGAAGCATGTCATATCGCACAAACGAGACAGCCAATCAACATCTCGGAAAAGCGACAATACTTCGAGTCTTTCGACTATCGACTTAACACGTCTTTTTTTTT